AGAGAGCTTTGAGTTCCACTGATTTATTTATTTTTTTAAAGATACTGTAATTTATTTGTGTTTGTCTAAGAGAGGGGGGAAAAGTTCGCCCTGCCATATTTTCACAAGCAGGACCCTAGGATCTTGTAACACCACATATATTTCGACTGTTTATGTTCTCTATGAGCTGAGAACAGATTCCAGCTCTCTAGGGGATTTTACAGCTTGATGACATCTTCATTGTTATTATTACTCATTACAAACAGATTTCTGAGAGAGAAGTCATTCAGTGACGAACCCATCAACCACAGTTAATGGCAAGTGTTGCTGGAGTCAAGCTAGAGACATTGTACAGGCACTAGGCACGGTCCAACATAATCTATGTCAGAATTAAAGCCTACTGAAATCAATGGTTGGCCATGGCAAACGGCTCATTCCACTTTTTTTTCCAATGGGACTTAGTCATCGCAAGGGACTTTTACTGGACTGCGCCCAACACATGCAGTTTCAGAGAAGAACAGGATTGGAAAGAATCAGTGTGCTATCCAAACCACAGTTTTGGCAAAAACATCCAGACTTTAATTAAAAATAAACACATGTTTATTTCTACCGAAAGATGAAATTCATGCTAGACAAGAAGCCTTTTAGTCACTGGCCTAGAAACAGATGCTACTTTATGTAGAGCCAGTGTGGTGTAGTGGTTAGGAGCAGTAGACTCGTAATTTGGTGAACCGGGTTTGCGTCTCCACTCCTCCACATGCGGTTGCTGGGTGACCTTGGGCCAGTCACACTTCTTTGAAGTCTCTCAGCTTCACTCACCTCACAGAGTGTTTGTTGTGGGGGAGGAAGGGAAAGAAGAATGTTAGCCGCTTTGAGACTCCTTCAGGTAGTGATAAAGCAGGATATCAAATCCAAACTCCTCCTCCTCTTCTACTGTCTTCTGCTGATCTATGGCTATGATCTAGTTCATTTCCTAGTACAGTGGTACCTTGGGTTACAGACCCTTCAGGTTACAGACGCTTCAGGTTACAGACCCTGCTAACCCAGAAATAGTACCTCGGGTTAAGAACTTTGCTTCAGGATGAGGACAGAAATAGCACGGTGGCGGCGCAGCGGCAGCGGGAGGCACCATTAGCTAAAGTGGTGTCTCAGGTTAAGAACAGTTTCAGGTTAAGAACAGACCTCTGGAACGAATTAAGTTCTTTACCCTAGGTACCACTGTACTGTAACAGAGAAAGAGGAATCTGCCTCTTGCTTCTGTGAAGCAGAGTGTCTGTCACTATTAGAATCATAGAATACAGTTGGAAGGAAACCTGAGAGTCATCTAGGCCAATGCCCCTGCAATGCGGGAATCTCAACTAAAGCATCCATGGCAGATGACCATTCGACCTCTGCTTAAAATCTTCCAGTGAAGAAGAATCCACTGCCTTCTGAGTGAGTCTGTTTCACTGTTGAACTGCTCAGAAAGTTCTTCCTATTATTACTGGTACAGAATGGAATCAGTGGCACTATGTCAAGGGCATATTCGTCTGGATGGAACTACTACTTCTTTGGTGATCCCTCGTAGCCGAGTAAGATTGTCTTCCTTAAGCACCATTTTAACAAGGAGTCCATAAGTGACTATGGAGGCCAATTCTGGATCCACACGTCCTTCCACAATGGGGACATAGATTTCTAGGCGAGAGTGGATTACGGTGAGGGTTTGCCAAATGTGCCTTCCTCTTAGCATGTTTCTCCCTTGCATCCTGAGTTCGGATGTTACCATGATGCCTTTGGTAAAGGTTGTTCTCCCATTGAAGCACTTGCAGGCCAGTGTTTCCCAATTGTTGGTGTTTACACTACATTTTTTTAGATTTGTCTTGAGACAGTCTTTAAACTTCTTTTGTTGACCACCGGCATCACGCTTTCCATTTTTAAGTTCGGAATAGAGTAGTTGCTTTGGAAGACGATCATCAGGCATCTGCACAATGTGACCAGTCCAACAAAGTGTGAGTCCTGCAAACCCTGCATCTGTTTTTCAGTTTGGGTTCCAGATTTTCGATTGCTGTATCAAGTGAGGAAGAGAAACTGCAGAAGAGGGTGGAAATCCAGAGAAGAACTTTCATGATGAGTGAAGGAATGGTTAACTGCCTGCACTCCGCCCACTGTTTCTGCCGTGCAAATCCCACTCCTTCCTTGCCCTGCGTTGCAGCAGGCATGGGTCTCTAACCGCTGTGTGCTGCAAAAAGTGCAAATTGGCCCTAAGGGAGCTTCCTGCTTGCTTTCTCTTAATGTAATTGAATTTGGAAAGCAGGAGCTTTGCATGGGCGAATCCAAGCTAGAATGTGGAAGGTTTAGCGTTCTGAGCAGAGACGATACACTACCATGCAACATCATGGTTTATTGCTTGAGTATTATACTTCATATAAGACGCCTGCTTCTTGGGAGAAAAGCAATGACAAACCTAGACAGCATCTTAAAAAGCAGAGACATCACCTTGCCAACAAAGGTCCGTATAGTTAAAGTCATGGTTTTCCCAGTAGCGATGTATGGAAGTGAGAGCTGGACCATAAAGAAGGCTGATCGCCGAAGAATTGATGCTTTTGAATTATGGTGCTGGAGGAGACTCTTGAGAGTCCCATGGACTGCAAGAAGATCAAACCTATCCATTCTGTGAAGGAAATCAGCCCTGAGTGCTCACTGGAAGGACAGATCATGAAGCTGAGGCGCCAATACTCTGGCCACCTCATGAGAAGAGAAGACTCCCTGGAAAAGACCCTGATGTTGGGAAGATGGAGGGCACAAGGAGAAGGGGACGACAGAGGATGAGATGGCTGGACAGTGTTCTCAAAGCTACCAGCATGAGTTTGACCAAACTACGGGAGGCAGTGGAAGACAGAAGTGCCTGGCGTGCTCTGGTCCATGGGGTCACGAAGAGTCGGACACCACTAAACGACTAAACAACAACAACAACATTATTCATCTGTTTCAATAGGATTCCACCTGACCCCACCAAGTGAAGGCAGCAATGGGAGAAGAGAATACAGAAAAAAGAATTAACAAATATCTGTTGGAATCCTGCAAAGCTGGCCTCTTGCTAGACAACTCAGTTCTCATCCAGAACCATGTTGATCTTGGCATTGCGTGTATTGCAAGCCCTTAATCCATGTAAGCTGCAAAGTTCCAAAACATTTGGTCCTTGTGACATGATGCTCATTACAATCTAGCCTCATTCAGGGCTGGGAATACTGAAAACAGAATATGTGCACAAGATTTTCAGGTAGTCCCTCTTTCCCAATATTAATTAAACCGGCAAGTTTAGCGGTGTCACACCCTATGGTGTTAAATTACCTAGGCTACTTGATATTATTATTATTATTATTATTATTATTATTATTATTATTTATTTCTACCCCGCCCACCTGGCCGGGCCTTCCCAGCCACTCTGGGCGGTTTTCAACAGAACATTAAAAACAGAATAAAACTTCAAACATTAAAAAAACTTCCCCTAAACAGGGCTGCCTTCAGATGTCTTCTAAAAGTCAGATGGTTGTTTTTCTCTTTGACATCTGAAGGGAGGGCATTCCACAGGGCAGGCGGCACTACCAAGAAGGCCCTCTGCCTGGTTCCCTGTAACTTTGCTTCTTGCGGTGAGGGAACCGCCATAAGGCCCTCGGAGCTGGACCTCAGTGTCCGGGTTGAATGATGGGGGTGGAGACGCTGCTTCAGGTATACTGGGCCGAGACCGTTTAGAGCAAGCACCCCCAAACTCGGCCCTCCAGATATTTTGGGACTACAACTCCCATCATCCATAGCTAACAGGACCAGTGGTGAGGGATGATGGGAATTGTAGTCCCAAAACTGGAGGGCCTAGTTTGGGGGTGCCTGGTTTAGGGCTTTAAAGGTCAGCACCAACACTTTGAATTGTGCTTGGAAACATACTGGGAGCCAATGTAGGTCTTGCCACAAGTTAGCCCCACCCTGCATGACCAGTGGTCAGGGATGATGGGAGCTGTAGTCCACCAGCAACTGAAGGACCAAAGGCTCCCCACCTCTGAGCTAGCTGGACACATTGCCAGCTGTGTATAGGTGAGGTTCTCCATTCTTACTTCCTTCTGTCCCCTGAAACACAACAACACAAAGTGAGTCAGTGAGTGAGTGAGGCCCCAGGGCTTTGCCCAAAGAATGCAGAAATTAGACTGGTGGAGCTGAGATGAGGCAGTGTGGAATTATTGGTGCCAAGTGTTGAGAGCTGCAGATCTCATCTTGGATCTATGCATAGTTATCTAAGATGCTTGACCCGGCAATGAACAACAGCAAACTAAAATGGGAGATCAGAACGTGGTAAACTGGAAGTCTGTTTTGGAACCTAGATCGTTCCTCACCCCCTCTCTTTTGAAGAATAGCAGAATTAACAGCTTATTGTACCCCTTTCTCTACTATAATTTCTATTTTTAAAAACCAACTATCCCAGAATTGTGTTTGTAAAAAAATATACATTTGTCAAGAGAATCTCTTTTGTTCAATTATTCTAACTGCTATTGATTGCCATCTTCTCGGGGTATTGGAGATTGAGAAAAGTGTGGGTAATTGATTACATAAGATACCCATAAGTGTTAGCAAGAGCCATCAGTTTAACGGAGGCATGTAAAACTGTATTGTTCATTAATATAAAAAGCCACAAATAAAATCTTAAACAACAAGGATAAAAGGAACGGACAGTCAGTACTGGGCTGCAGAGGCAATTAGCTTGACTTTAGGGTAAGACGACTCCTCTTATGTTAAAGGCTGAACTAGATTACGCCGGGTACTTTAGGGTTGATACAAGATAGCTGGTTCATTACAGAATGCCTACATGATTTTAGTGTATCAACCCAGAGAAGAGCAACCCCACAATAACAGAACTAGTTAGAAATCTATTAAACTCAAATGAAAATGCATTTTAATAGTCAATTTCCAGTGGCATGTCTAACACAGAGAATATTGTTACGTAAAAGCCCTACCTCAAGCAGAGGTCCCTTTAAAAAATGCCTATAACATACTTGCAAGAGTCACGTTCTACTTTCTCGGTGGCTTCCAATGACTGCAAATTCTCTAGGCAGATACTGGCGGTACAGTTTTTACTCAGGGGGACCATACGCTAAGAATAAGGAAAGACAGTCATTGTGAATGACAACCCACATTCTGGTCATGTATCTCATTTCAAGTTCTTTTTCAAGATATGAAAAAAATATAGTTTGCGTTGCTCTATTTATTTCATTCCTGAGTTCAGCCTCAGTTCTGATTGTCATCAAAAGAGCCTGGAAAAACAGCTTTAGTCACTGAATGCAACAATAAATAGAGCAGGGAGATTTGCATAAAGGAGGGTATATAAATCTTGTGAGTGGCATTTCCTCCCCACTATCATGTCCTGTGGGTTTTAAAAAACCAGTTTTGTCTTTGTGGACAGGAAGTCTCCTGTTCTGAAAGGCCAATCGGGCTTTCTGATGCAGCCTTCTGCCATCTGCAGGTGATATCTTCTGGGGTGTGTGGAATGAATGGTTCAGTTTTCATATGTACATGCAATTCAGAGTTTGGTAGCAGTTGCAAAAGAACCATTCCCAATGTATCTGGATCGAGATTGTAAACGTTCATGTTATAAAGGTAAAGGTAAAGGGACCCCTGACCATTAGGTCCAGTCGTGACTGACTCTAGGGTTGCAGCCCTCATCTCGCTTTATTGGCCGAGGGAGCCGGCGTACAGCTTCCGGGTCATGTGGCCAGCATGACTAAGCCGCTTCTGGCGAACCAGAGCAGCACACGGAAACGCTGTTTACCTTCCCGCCGGAGCGGTACCTATTTATCTACTCGTGCTGGCTTGGCTTTCGAACTGCTAGGTTGGCAGGAGCAGGGACCGAACAACGGGAGCTCACCTCGTCGCGGGGATTCAAACCGCCGACCTTCTGATTGGCAAGTCCTAGGCTCTGTGGTTTAACCCACAGCACCACCTGCATCCCTCATGTCATAAAAGAGATGAACAAAATGACTACTAGGTCTACTGTCCTGTGCACGCTTACTTGGGAGTAAGTCCCACTGAATTAATAGAATTTGGCTATATGCTACCTTAGGCTACTGCCTCTCAGACTACATAATTCTAAAGCTATCACCACTATGAAGTGCTTCAGGAAACCTCCATTTTCTATCTCTCTCTTAATCTTGTTTTCTCTTGCTACTCACAGACCCATCACTCTCTCGCTTCCTGAAAACTCGTAGAGCCTGTTGTCACAGACAAGAATATATGCAGTTGCTCTCCTGATCTGGCCTGTTCTGAAAAGGAGCCTGGTTAATTAACATTGATTACAATCCACCAGCTGCAAGTAAAAATTGATTGCAAGGGGTCCCTAATTTACATGCTTCTCTTTCCTGGCTCCTCTTCGTACCCCCCCCCCTGCGTTTTGCTACCCATTGACAGAAAGACACAGAAACTGAACCCAATTTTTAGATGTGACAAGAGGTACCTGGGTACCTCGGATATGACAACTGTGATCCTCATTGTCCTGCCTTACCCCCCACCCCTCAGGAGAGTCGTTTGTCAGCCCTGCAAATTGCCTGCATGCATATTGCGGCCCCGTTCATTGCTCTTATGCCTGTGCACGTGTGTGTATCAAGAGAGAGGAGCAACGGTATTGATTTCGGATAGCCAGGGAGAGCGGCTGGGATATTAGTAAGGAGCCGAGAGAACACAGCACATAAACTTTTATGACACAATGTCAAAAGCGGATTGCGCCAACATAAATGAAAAGGACAACATGTTACTGTAATTAAGGCAAACACACACCATTTATCTATCGGTATAAAGGGGGCTTCTCAGAAGAATACTCAGAAACAGGCACCTGGCTGGGTGGGAAGTCTAGAGGTAGGAAGAGGTGCTCAAGGGTTAGTGCCGAGGAAGAATGTCCAGAAGAGACCGGAGTTCTTTCTAAGCGTGACTAATTTGATTCAACAGCATACAATGAAAGCTACTTTGGATGAAGGCATGTGCCTTATGGGGCTTTTGGGAAATTGCTTGATTTTCCTTGATTGTCCAGCGCCGAGGGCCTTCTGGCAGTTCCCTCACTGTGAGAAGTGAGGTTACAGGGAACCAGGCAGAGGGCCTTCTCAGTGGTGGCACCTGCCCTGTGGAACGCCCTCCCATCAGATGTCAAGGAAATAAACAACTGACTTTTGGAAGACATCTGAAGGTAGCCCTATACATGGGCAAGGCCAAGGGGGGGCAGGGAGGGGTAGCTGCCCCCACCCCCCCAAATCAATAAAAATCATCTGAAGGCAGCCCTGTTTAGGGAAGTTTTTAATGACTGATGTTTTAATGTATTTTTAATCTGTTGTTGGAAGCTGCCGAGTGTGGCTGGGGAAACCCATCCAGATGGGCAGGGTAGAAATATTATTATTATTATTATTATTATTATTATTATTATTATTATCTTTCTCTCTCTCACACCCACAGACAGATGCACAACATATAATTCCTGCTTTAGCTATATATTTCAAAAATTGTCATGTACCACAGCTTGTACTAGTTCTCCTCATCGCCTCAACTGCAACACACTTCTAGAAGATTATATTTCATCACAATACTTGGCGTTGTTATTATGATGAAAAAGGTGTCGCCCTCCAAAGTATTAGCCAAAGAAAGGTGAGAGAACAAAAGAGATTTGGAATGGCGGGGGTGCCAACTTTAATCAAATTTTGGGGGAGGGGGGGCAGGTAAGTCCTGCCCCTCATAATCAATCACATGACACAGTGCATGCACACCATTTGAATGGCAATCACCTTTTTTGAGGGGGGGGGTAGCCATCACTGTGCAAAACCTGTGGCTGGCGCATGGCTGAAGAAATCTGAGGGCTGCTGTGGAGTTGGCTGCTTGGGTTGCTGAGTTATTCTTGTGTTTTGCTGGTGGGAGTGCTGAAGGCTGCAGGAACTGCATTTCACCATCATGGCTGCTTGGCAAATCAGTTGCTAGTCCCATTTTTATCTGAGAATCAGATAAAAGAACGGGGTTGCGGGGAGAGAGAGATGCGTAAGTTCCCTGAAAAATCCCCCAAGCTATTGACCAGACCTTCCCCGGGCTCTGAATGCAGCTTGCACGCAGCCTTAAGCCCCAAAGAGCAGTAGATGAATGGTGAATACTAAAATGATGTCAACAGTTTGTGCAGAGGCCAAAGAAAATACTAAGGGGCCCTTCATGGCTTCATCCCTAAGTTTGCTGAAGTACATCTGTGAGTAATAAGTTTCCTTTCCCTTTCAGACACAGCACAGTGCAGTACATCTGAAATAGGTTTCCTGCCCATTTATTTTGTTTCCTTGGGAGTCAGGGGCATTTTGAACCGAAAATTCAGACTATCCGTGGTGGCCTCATAGCCTGACTCCACAGGCCCAGGGAAGGGTGCTCTTTCTCGACGACTCTTTGCAAAACCATCGCCGCATCATAAAAATTGAGCCGTACTAGGGCAAAGACAGATGTAATATGAAGAAACGATTTTTAGGGAATCTTTCAGACTGTCTTCCTCCCAGTTTCCCAGTTTGCTGTACAGTGGTACCTCATGTTAAGTACTTAATTTGTTCCGGAGGTCCGTACTTAACCTGAAACTGTTCTTAACCTGAGGTACCACTTTAGCTAATGGGGCCTCCTGCTGCCGCTGCGCCGCCAGAACACAATTTCTGTTCTCATCCTGAAGCAAAGTTCTTAATCTGAAGCACTATTTCTGGGCTAGCAGAGTCTGTAACCTGAAGCGTATGTAACCTGAGGTACCACTGTATAGATTTGCATGCCAGTAGTGAACTCAGCACTGGCTTAGCTGTTGGGCTGGCTCCTTCCCCTTGCTTTAAAGTACCACCATAATGTGTTTTCTTTTTAAAAATCAATTTTATTTAAGGTTTTCAGCCATCAAAGTTCAGCTCCGAGGGCCTTGTGGCGGTTCCCTCTATGTGAGAAGTGTCCCGCCCTCTTCTCCAAGGAGTTCAAGATGGTGTACATGGTTCTCCCCTCCTTATTGCATCCCCACAACCATCCTGTGAGGTCGTTTTGGCCTCAGAGGCAGTGAGTAGCCTGAGGTCACCCATGACCTTTGTCTTTCAGTTCAGGTCTTGCCAGAACAATAGAAGGCCTATGTGTTATGTCCTTTACTGCATCAGCCACGGCAGGAACTGCAACCTTCCAGCAGGCTGGACCTCACCCCCAAAGACACACTCTTCCATTGCCTTCTGAGACAGACGGATGCCAACCTGGGGGTGGGGTTATTGGTTCGTTTTGTTCTTGTTTTTAATTTTGTGTTTTGTGTGTTTATCTTGTGTTTTTATTTTGTGAACCACCCTGAGATCTTTTGGTGAACAGTGGGATATAATAATAATAATAATAATAATAATAATAATAATAATAATTTATTATTTGTACCCCAGCCACTCTGGGTGACTTCCAACAAAGACCAAAAATACACTAAAATGTCACACATTAAAAACTTCCCTGAAGAAGGCTGCCTTCAGATGTCTTATGAATGTCAGGTAGTTGTTTATCTCTTTTACATGTGATGGGAGGGCATTCCACAGGGTGGGCGCCACTACCGAGAAGGCCCTCTGCTTGGTTCCCTGTAGCTTTGCCTCTCACAATGAGGGAACCGCCAGAAGGCCCTCGGTGCTGGACCTCAGTGTCCGGGCTGAGCGATGGGGGTGGAGATACTCCTTCAGGTATACTGGGCCAAGGCCAAGGCCGTTTAGGGCTTTAAAGGTCAGCACCAACCACTGTGCTCAGAAACGTACTGGGAGCCAATGTAGGTCTTTCAAGACTGGTGTTATGTGGTCTTGGCGGCCGCTCCCAGTCACCAGTCTAGCTGCCGCATTCTGGATTAGTTGTAGTTTCCAGGTCACCTTCAAAGGTAGCCCCACGTAGAACACATTGCAGTAGTCCAAGCTACTTGAAAATTAAGTCAATCAATCATACATCCAAACCCCTTAAAATCAACACACCTCCTACCATCAGTTTCAGATTCAACCCACCATGTGAAACCATTTCTACATCTCCCTATATTGTTGGCATTTCCTTCTCTACTTCGCATTAGAATTTACAAGTATGAATCAGATTTAGAAATGTGTGTGTGTGTGTGTGTGTGTGTGTGTAAAACACCAACATAATGAACAGAAATAAAGACGTCTCAGCTACATGTTCTTTAATTTCCTAACCCCCCTGCAGTAGCAGCAGCCAGCTGTATTAAATAGTTCCACCACTGCAAATAAAAGGAGAGGATTTACAGTGATGAATTTATAGCAGGGTCATTACAGTTATAAAAACAACAGTGAGCTGCTTTGGGAATGGCTAAGAAAGTGAGACAAGGTACTTCGCAGACCCAGGGAGGGAATAGAGAGAGAGGTCATTGTAACTTCCTGCTTTCCCCTCTGAGTGCTGCGGTAGCTGTCAAGTGCAAAGAGGATGAATTTCTCCTTCCAGCATCAGCTGGGATTGGGAAATGTGTATTGGAAAGGGATTCAAGTAATTGAAACACATGCAGCAAGTTTCTTTAGTGATTTGCACACTTAAAATAGAGGACAATGACAGAATTCATTGTGTGATGTTCCTAAAGTATCAGGAAGGGAGAAATAATCATTTTACTCATCCCTAATGTTAACTCCAGAGGAAGCGTATGTAAAAACAACAATCCCAAAACAGATTCTTTAAAGCCAGCATGTTCAATAGCTGTTAAGATAAGGACATGCATTTTGGGGGTGCCATCCACAAGTCAGTGTGCTTCCGAGTATTTACCAAAATGTAGATTTCCTGGTCCTGACATTGTGGTAGCATCCATCCAATTCCATCTGTCTTAAGAACAGCGCAAAAGGCCTCATGCTTTGTTGTGCTAGCACAGGGGGGTTGGGGTGTGTGACAGATCGAGTTGTATCAAATCCCCCAGAAATTTCATTCTGGTCTGTTGTACAGCACAGTTGTCCTCTGGTGTGGTCATGCTGGGATAACGCAAGTCTGTTAAGTATAGCAATTTTATTCACTGAAACTGCACATGCTTATATGCCTTACTATGTGTTTTAATTTGATTGGTTGGTAACTGAATTCTCTAGCAGTTCTCATGTGATTGGTTAACGTCGGTCACATGGGAGTAGTGAAGGAGAGACTGTTTTATGTGACTATGCTTTAGAATCCACTGTGAACACTGCTAAGTTGAATAGAGTGCTGGAGTGCTGCTTCTCTGCTTGAAAGAAGGGAGAGCAAAGCTGCAGGAGAAGGTAAAAGTGGAAATCTCTCATAGGAGCTATAAGGCATGGCCTAACTGAGATAAAGAAGGCTGAGTGCTGAGCTCTGGAGAGGAAAACACAGTTGTTTGGAAGCTAGAAGAAGAGACTGTAAGCCAATGCTTGCGACTGTAAATACCATGTTTTAATTCATCTGCAGCAGGGATGTCCAACTTACAAGAGACTGTGATCTATTCCCACTGTAAAAAAACTGGCAGTGATCTACCCATTGGATTGACAAACGTTGTTGAGCTTTTTTTGTGGGGGGATCTCGCGATCGACCGTGATCTACCACGTACCCCCCCGCGATCAACCAGTAGTTCGTGATCGACCTGTTGGACATCCCTGATCTAGAAGTTTCTGAAAGTAAAGCTTTTGAATGACAATGTCTGGACATTGGTTTAATTTCCAAAGAAGGGTGTCAGTCATATATACGATTTGAGCTTCTTAGCTGCGATTTCACTACTCTTACTTCAACATTGTGCAGCCCAAAATGCGTGTGCTAGTGGAACTGTTTAATCGGATACCATATTGTGATTTATCCTTAAGTACCACTGCATCACCACTACTGCTACAAAGAGTCTTGTAACAAATCTACTACATAATTTGGAAAGTTGTTGTTTGTCTATCCACTATGAATTTGGACACTTCTTAAGTGTCTAATAACCAAATTTTGTGTGATGGTTCCTGAGATCAAGGTATAGGTTTTCATCTAGGTTTGGTTACAGTTGGGTACAATTTTGAATCAAAATGATGGACCGAACCTTTCAAAACTGCACTGATATTTTGGTGTGTTTTTGAGCAATACTAGATACAAGACATCAAGTTTATTTTGAAGTGGACTCTAGTTTATGGCTAGCTATACTAAAATTGTTAGTTTTTAAAGGTTGCTCAAAACTCCTTTTTTGTTTTTGTTGCAAAGGAGTAAGATAGCTATCTCTCTGGAAGCTATGCAACAATGAAACTCAATTTTCATATTTCAGTATTAAGAGAAACTGTATATGTGGTTTAATTCAAAAACCAGTACACACTAAGGGAACATTCAACTGACTTCAAAGCATGTTGTATTATACTCCAAGTTTACTTGCCCATGGCTATGGGATCTGCTGCCAATGAATACAGCAGCTAAATTATTACTCAATTATCCTGCAGTCATACATCTGAATAGCCCACCTATTTGCCATTTGCATGAGTTTGCACCAACATGGAGTACAGTAAATTAGAATACGATCAAGTAACAGTGGTTTTTTCACCCAAACTAAATGTTTGCCAAGGTATTCAATTAGGATACTTGAATTGGTTTGAAATCTTGTGCCTCAATTTGGGCAGAATTGGTTTAGGGAGAATGATATCTCCCAGGGAAGTTTCAGAGGTATTCTTCAACTTCCTTTGGGAATCAGTGTTTCCAAGGATGGCCAGTGGGAAAGACAATATATTGCCTTAAGCAGGTATGGAGGAGAAATTTGATGCAGGTCACATTTAAAGGCGGACTTATCTAATTTGCAAAACAAAATGTGAACTGAAATTTTGCCACCCTTCAAAATTCACACCTCTTTGGAGTTTGCAGTGCTGTTCTCCAGCCATGTAACATGCACAGAAATGTACATATTATCGTATTTTTTGCTTTATAAGACGCACCAGACCACAAGATGCACCTAGTTTTTGGAGGAGGAAAACAAGAAAAAAATATTCTGAATTTCAGAAGCCAGAACAGCAAGAGGGATCACTGTGCAGTGAAAGCAGCAATCCCTCTTGCTGTTCTGGCTTCTGGGATAGCTGCACAGCCTGCATTTGCTCCATAAGATGCACACACATTTCCCCTTACTTTTTAGGAGGGAAAAAGTGAGTCTTATAGAGCAAAAAATACGGTAGTACATAAATGAATATATTAGTAAAAATGATCTACAGAAATGCATCACACTATGGAATATTGCTTGGAAAACGTGTATATTAGCCAAAAAGTGCTTACAAAATGTGTTTATTAGGAGATGTTAACATTTAAAATGCTGATCAATTTTCTTTAAAAAAAAACACACACCCTGAAATTCCCCACAGAAAGATGGAGAACTGAATTTAAGACTGTAAAAATGAGAAATGTAGAGAACTAAAATGTTCAGATTCACCTATCCCTTGCCTTAAGTGTTACATGATTGCTGCCTACCTGGGAATATTGAACTCTATGGGGCTTGTTTCTCATGTCTAGGATTGCAGTGTTGCAGCACAATCCTTGGTAGGTCTATTCAGAATTAGTTCCGCTGAGGTCACTGAGGCTTATTCTAAAGTAAGTGGGTACTTGTTTCTGTAAAAATCAGATTTACTCTATAATTTGTCCAGTGTTCAAGGTAAAAAAAAACCATTAATTTTCCTCCCATAGTAAAACTGCCTGCTTTTTCCTTCGGCTGTAAGGCCACATTACTTGTCTGTTAAATTGCAAAGCCCTCCTGACTTTTCACCCTCATCTAAAATTACTTGTAACCAGAAGCTCTGGCCAATGTATATTCTTAGCCCAATTAGAGCATGTGAAATTTTTCTGTTCCAACTGGTCATGAACACATCCTTCCTTAGCAGGTACTAATTTAAAGTCAACCAGTTTCCTGGTGTATCAAAGGCTTACGCAATCCATTCTTTAATAGCAAATGTGAGATGTTATACAATTCCCCTTCAGAGAAGGAGAGCTGGAACATGAAAATACAACAATGGCTTTTAAAAGCCCATCTGGCTGATATCAGCCGATGAAAAGTGTAGAATTTTGCATATCAGCCGGCTTAAACAGATACTATCTGATAGGTATTAGGTGAACTTTTCATTCCTCTTTGAAGTTATATCTAGTATATAACGTGGATGTGCTGAGTCCCTCTTCTTGGATGACTGCCATCTTTGGGTCAACAGGTGTAGGGTATCACCATTTTAGTAGAGAACACAACAGCAATTTGACTTGGGTAGACATGCATCTTCCATGGGTGGCGATGTGCTGGAAATCTAGGGTTTTGTGCAGGTTCAGAAGTCATCCCAAGCATTCTGACATAGGGCATTTGTGTAAGCAAGTGAAGCATGGACTATGTAGGATAGTACTTTCAGACATTCAAAATGTTGGTGCCGACCTTTAAAGCCCTAAACGGCCTCGGCCCAGTATACCTGAAGGAGCGTATCCACCCACATCATTCAGCCCGGACACTGAGGTCCAGCGTCGAGGGCCTTCTGGTGGTTCCCTCATTGTGAGAAGTGAGGTTTACAGAGAACCAGCCAGAGAGCCTTCTTGGTGGTGGCACCCTCCCTGTGGAATGCCCTCCCATTAGACGTCAAGAAAATAAAGATCTGACTTTCAGAAGGCATCTGAAGGCAGCGTATAGCTGAGTCCTAGATCTGCCATTTGAGACATGCTGTTATTGACTTCTGCAACTGACAGTGTAACCCACTAATCTGGGATCATTGTGGGCGTGGGTTGATATGGGCCAGATCTTGCAATATGAAAAAAGAGCCTATGATATTTAAACTATCCTAAGTAGGTACTAGAAGTGCTATAACAGATACAACATTGCATGCCACATTTTCTTGCATTTAACTATTGAACTTATTAAGAAGCAGATAAGAATACATCAGGAAGACTGCTTTCTTTCTTTTCGTTCTGCCACTATTATTGTAATCAGTATATATTTACTTCCTACTCCCAGAAAGAAAGTCTCCTTTTCGTCTGGCTTAAACCATTGGAAATCATAGCCAATCCATGCAGAGCGAATAGAATTACATGAGCATAAAACCTCAGGAAGAGTCGCCCAAATCTGTGCCAATTAACTTTACAGCAGTTGGATCAGTTAAAGGACTTATCAGTCACATTTGTTGACAAAGAGCTTTGTATTTCATCCCTTATTAGCCAGAACATTTTGCTCTAACCTATGTCTTGTTATTGTCACAAAACAGCACACATGTCAACTTGCTTGTGCCTGCTAATGTTACAAATTCATCAGGGAGGGTGAAGGTTGTAAAACAAGCGTATTAAGTTCATGCATAAAAAGCGCAAGGCAATCGTTTACAAGTGCTACGTAAATACGCTTCCTTGATTTTTCTCTGTCAGGAAGCTGTAGGAGGCAAAGGTCAAGTACCCACCAAATGCGAAGGATACTCAGCTCACCTCAACCAGGTTCTTCTGTGTGTGAAGAGATGGATAAACCACGTTACGTTTCGTGGCTCTTGTTTTGCTTTTCCTCATCATACCATTTCCCTAAGGCTGCTCCATTGGGGCCCAGCTTTGAACTATGGTTCTGAAGTAGGGAGATGGGATCTGAATCTTGGCTGTTCTCAGAGGCATAGCAAGGGGGCAGCAGCGGCCATCACCCTAGGCCCACGTTCAGAAGGGTGCAACAGGGCTACAGTGGTCTCAAAGCTGCTGTGGGAGGGAGGTGGCTACCTTTCTGGGCCGGCAACGTGACTTGCACAGCGCGCACATCTTCTGGGTGGTCAGATGGACTGGGAGTGGAGAGCAAGCAGCCATTCAGACCTTCTCCTGCCAGGATGGAGCCCCTTCTCACTGCCCACCCCCTTGGTGCCTTGGGATAGGGTGTGTGATGGCCTGGGGCT